GCCCCCGGGCTGCCTCCCCCACCTCCCCTCCCTCGGCCTCGCCACCCTCATCTCCGCCCGTGGGTCCCGTCGCCGCGGCCGTCTTCTGGCCGTCCTGCCCGCCCTCGTCCCCGCCCGCTCCTCCTCCGCTTGCATCGGGCGCCCCGCCGCCAGGGCCCATGCCCGCCCCAGGGCTCGTGGGCCCCGTCCTCGCCGCACCCCCTCCCCACCGCACTCCCCTTCCCCCTGCCGGCCCCCACTTTCCCCCTTCCCCGGGTCCCTCTCCGCCGGCGTCCTCGCAGCATCGCGCCCCCTCCCCGCCCCGCCCCTTCCAGTGCTTCCCATGCCTGCCGCAGCCCCCTTTCCTGCAGCGAGCCCCCCTTCCTCTTCCGTCACTCCGTCCCCTCCCCCGCGCTTGCCGCAGCCCCCGCGAGCCCCCACGCCCGCCGCGCCCACTGCGGCAAGCCCCTTCCCCGCCAATCGCGTGGCCCGCCTCCCCCGCGCGCACCGCCGGCCGCCCCCGCAGCCCCGGGGCGCCCGCCGCGCCCACTGCGCCGGCGCCCGGTCCCCGCCGCAGCCGCAGCGCCGCGCTGCCTCCGCTCGGCCCCGGCTCCGGCCCCGGCTCCTGGCGGTGCCCGGCGAGGGCACCAGCGCGCCCAGCCTTGGTTCCACGCGCCGGCGACGCAGCCCCTCACAGGCCTGGGGGGCTCTCCCCTCCCAGCCACCGAGGAGGAGCTGTCCGCACCGACGCCCCTCGGTTTCGGGTCCCAGTGCGTGACGGAGGCTCTGCGGCAGCGCTGGCAGGGGCTCCTTGGTGACGCTGTCATTTGCCTGAAATGGTGGTGGGGGGCTTCGGGTGGTCGGTGAGGGGCAGGGAAGCAGGTTGGGTCGGGGGCACGAGGGGTTATGGGTGCTGTTGATGTGTTTGGGGGAGTAGGAGATAGTGGCTGAAATGTCCCTTGCAAAGGGGATCTGAGGCCACCCTTCTGGATGGACTCTGGGTGATCAAGTGGGTTCCTCTGATAGGGACTGGTCAGGGGCAAATGCTTCTGGGGGCTCGTGGCGGGGGGGGGGGGGGGGGGGGGGGGTGAGAAAGGAAGGTCTGGAGCTCCGCTGTGGCCAGGGAACCTCCCTCCCAGTTGCTCTGTGTCTCCCACCCCCACAGGCTGGTAGACATGCGGGGGGACCCCGTGGCCCCTGGAAGTAGATGAGGTGCAGGAGTGGGCAGGGCACGTGCCCAGGGGGAAGCCTTGTACAGCCTCACGCCCCCAGTCTGCCGGCAAAGCCCCATGTAGGGTCCAGAATTGAGTAAAGGAGGGGGTTGGGAAGCAGCCCCCCTCCTGCCTTCCAGCCCCGGGCCTCCCGCTTGCTGGGTTGGGCGCCTGGAGCTGTGTGCCCGTGCAGGGGGGCGGCACGGGCTGTCTGCACTGACAGAGCGCTCTGGGGCCGCTGGGCCAGGTGGTGCAGAGCGCCCGGGATGTGGCTTTAAAGACGGGTTGAGCGGACGTCTGCATACTTCTGTGTGAACACTAGAAGCTTCTGCAGAGATGGGCTTGGCGTGGCGCCATCTTCCGCCTGCAGTCACCTTGGGAGGGCTCTAGCGCCACCAGACACAGGTGGCCTCCGGGCTGGGCCTGGACGCAAGAGGTCTGTGTCCTGCATTGGAGATGGTGACCACTGTTGGGAAGGGGGTCTTGGGCTAAAGCTTCGGGGTGATCGTGCTGGTGGGGGTGGCTGCTGGGTGGGGACACCCTGAGGAGGCTGCTAAGACAGGACAGCTGAGGTCAGTAGGTGGCAGAAGGGCGTGAGCCTTAAAGATGTGTAAGTCATAGACTGGTGCGGGCCCAGTGAGGAGAGGCCTGGGATCTGGGGTGACCCCAGGAGGTCTGAATCTGGAGGGGAGCAGGGGGACCTGTGGTCTGCCCCCCAAAGAGAAGCAGCTGCTGATGGGGTTAGGGGAGTGGGTGCAGTACTTGAGGGGCGGGATCAGAGGGCAGCTGGGACTTTGGGGGCTTGGGGTTTGGGGACGGGGCCTAGAGGGAAGGTAGGGACCAGAGGAGGGGAATAACCCCCACCGAATCTCTCTCCGGGATCCCCAACAACCCCTGGGGTCAGCAGAGGGAGGAAGCGCCCCGCAGGCTAAGGGAAGGCAGAGTCCCGGATGTGACCGGCCAGCTGTTGCAAAAACAGCCCAGGGACCGAAGGAGGAAGGAGGGCTGGGCCCCCGCCAGCTGGTGGAAGGGTCAGTGGGAAGAGGGGACCCCCTGACGCCTCCCAGTGCTGGGCGAGAGGGGGGGGGTTGGGGCCGGAGAGGTCTGAGACGCGAGGCGAGTGGCATGCGGTCAGCCTGCCTCGCGCTGCCAGGGCCGGGGAGGGCCTCCTCTGTCCCGCAGACCCCCACACGGCACTTCGGCTGTGCCCGGGGGGGGCGGGCTCCCTTCTCCCGCGGTGCAGGGGCGCCCTGCCCGCCTACGCCCAGGGCTGTGGGACGATGCGCGCACCAGGCCGGGCTGGGCCAGGCGGGCGGAGAGGGGGCCCCGGCGCTGCAGCCCCCGCGCCTGCCCTGCAGCCGGCTCGGCGGCCGCCTCGGCCCAGCCCGCCCGGGGCCCCAGGCCGGCGCCCGCGCTCTGGCTCCGTGTCTTCACTCCCGTGTGTCTGCGGAGGGAGGGAGGGACGGGGGCTGTGCTGGGGCAGCCGGAACAGCGCAGGCCACCGGGCGGCTGGGCGAGGTGGCTGCGCGGGGCTGGAGAGGCCGCCAGGGTGGGGCCACAGCCCGAGGGGCGGCCGTGCGGCCGTGCCAGAGACCCCCGCCGCGCCCGCCCACGGCAGCCCCCGTGGCTCTCGGTGCCCCCCTCCTCCGCCGGCCTGTCTGCTGACTGCGTGGACGGCAGGCTGGGGGGAGGGGGTCCGGGCCACCAGGGGCCTGGGAGGGCGGCCAGCCGGGGGTGCTGCCCGCCCCCCAGCCCGCAGATACTTAGGATTTGGCGGCCGGGGCCCGCCTGAAGCCCGGCTGGCACTTGCCCCTGCCGCAGGACACAGCCCCAGCTCGCCCTCCCCACCCCCACCCCAGCAGCGCTGGGAGCTGGGGGCCCTCACGGAGGAGCGGAGCACAGGCTTCTCCTGGTGGGGGCCCGGGGGCCGCACAGAGGGGACCCTCATCTTGCTCGGGGTCCCGCCTCCTGCAGGGAAGGGTCCACGCCGCACGTCAGTCCGCAAAGGGCCCCGAGAGGGAGCGATTCTGGCCGTTCTCTGCCCGAGCCCCCCCTGCCTGGAGGCACCTGTGCACCCCGCCCCGCGGGAGAAGGGGCGCAGGGCCCCACCTGTCAGGCCCAGGCTCCCACCCTGAACCCCAGCTGGTTCCCACAAGGCCCTGAAAGGCCCGACTCACCCAGATGGTCAGGCCTTAGCCCCAGGGGCCGCGCCCCCGCCGACCTGGGGCTCCCCGGGGGATGGGCACCAGTGGTCTTGAGCTCCAGTCTGTTACCCTGTGGTCAGCCCTGCCCCAAGGTGGGGGCCACAGCCCCCTTCAGACGGACATGCTAGCCTCACTTCCGGGCCCTGGGAGAGGGGGCAGTGGGTTCCCCGGGCACGCACCCCTGCAGGGAGCAGGTGTCTGAGACCAGACGGCATCTGGGGGAAGGGAAAGGGGCTGCCCCCCAAACGTCCCCCAGGCCCCACCTGCGGGCCGCTGCAGCGCCTGTCACACTGATGGGCACGGAGGCCAGACAGGCTCCTCTGCTCCCGGGGAGGGGGGTGGGGTGTCAGGGCAGCAGACAAACATCCTCCAGCCTAGTGTGACCCCGTGGTCCTGACAGGCTCTTCGGGGCGAAATCAGCCTCAGGATGACTTCTCTCTGCCCTCCCCCCAGGCCCCTCCCAGGGCTGCGGGTCTCCTCTTCGGTAGCCCTGGGGACCCAGGCCGCTCCGCCCCCCCCCACCACTGTGCACAGGATGACCCCTGCCCCTGTCCCCACCAGACCCCTGCCCCCCAGGCTGGCCCCAGGAGGGAACCGCCCCCACAGCTTAGAGGCAGGAAGTGCGGCCTGCAGGGTGGGGCAGGGACGGGTGGGGAGGGCGCTGAGGTGCCCGGTGGGCGCGGGGCCTGAGAGCAGGTAGCCTCACTGAGCTGCTGGGGTCTCCCTGCCACACGGACTGGACAGGAAACTAGTCTCTTCTCTGTCTCTGGTCTGTAGAGCGGGGTCACAGCGCCCCCCTCAGGGCGGCCGTAATTGTAACGCTGGGACCCGCCCACTTTCAGAGGCGCTCCCTCTGCGGTGGCAGGTGCTTACGCACAGCCCAGCTCAGCGGTGTATCGGCGGGGCTGTGTGGACTTAGCACCTGCCCTTGACCCCAGGATGGGAACGTGGATAGTGGTGCTGCCCCGGAGCCAGTGCCCAAGTCTGCAGCGTGAGGAGTGACGGGCTTTGGGGGCGCAGGGGAAGGGACAGGCTTCCGGAGACATGGGGGTGTCCTGCCTGCCCCGCCCCCAGCAGGTCTGTGTCTGGGCCATGTCCTGGCTGGGTGAGGCTGCGCCCCTCATGCTCTGGCGTGCTGTCCCGCCCTACCCCTGGGGGCCCTTCCTCCCTGCCCGTTCTCAGGCGGGGCTCAGGCAGGGGCACAGGCAGCCCTGGGAGCTGCTCCAGAGCCCCTGGGACAGCGCTCCTCACCTGCGTGGTGGCAGCGGGGGGCCGAGGGGCCCAGACGACCTCTGACAGCCCTGCCCTGGGCTCAGCCTTCTGCACCCTCGAGTTATGCCCAGTCCGGCTGCAGACGGCCTGGAGGGTGGCCTGCGGAGGACCCTCTGCCCCTGTGTCTCGCGCTGGGCACTGCACCGCCTACCCCGGGGCCCCCGCCGGAGCTGTGTCCCCTCCCAGGGTCCGCTGTCCATGCCCGCCCTGCCCCAGAGTCCCCGCCAAGCCCCAGGGCCAGTTCTCCTGGTCCCCGAGGCTGTCCCTGCCCCTTGCCCAAGCCCCAGCGGCCTCCAGCGCCCCTCCTCCCCCTGACGCCGGCCCCTCCCCACAGGGGAGCACCTGCGGATCTGCCCCCAGGGCTACACCTGCTGCACCAGCGAGATGGAGGAGAACCTGGCCAGCCGCAGTCGGGCTGAGCTAGAGACGGCCCTCCTGGACAGCGGCCGCGCCCTGCAGGCCGTGCTCGCCGCCCAGCTGCAGAGCTTCGACGGTGAGCGGGCCGCCCGGCCTCGGGGACCCCTGGGCACGGACGCGGCGGGGAGCTGGGCACGGGGCCACCTCTCCTGGGGAGGCGGGGTCTCAGGGCGGGTGCGGTTATCAGCACTTCCGGGCTGCGAGCTGAGATTCAGGGTGTCACGGGGGCAGAAGGCTGCCCACACGCAGGGCCCCAAGCAGGGGACCCATGAGCGTGGGGTCTTGAGCAGGCGACCTTGCCCACCCCGTGCTGTGCTCAGCAGTACACATGTGTGTCTGGGGAGGTCAGGCCAGAGGGCCCCCCTTGCTCTCAGGTGACCCCTTGTCACTAGAGACACGAGCGGGCCTTGCACTGGCCGGCAGGTGGCCCAGAGCCAGGAACCTCAGTGTGACGGCCGAGCTCGGGCCAGGGCCCCGAGGGCGGGGCCGAGTGCTGGGCCTGCCCTGACGCGGGGGCAGGAGTTTGGGGCCCCGAGCGTGGCCCTCACATCTCACCTCGGGCAGCTGCTGTGTGTGGCGTTCATTCCCTGGCCCTCGCCGGGTCTCACACCGTGTCTGGGCAGAGAGCGAGTGCCCTGGACGGTGAAGAATGGGCTGGCCTGACGACGTCCGTAGTGGTCGCCTCAGGGGTCGGTGTGGGCGCTGGGGTGGGGGCCCCCAGGAAGTGACCTCTGAGCTGAGATTGAAGCCTGCAGTCTGCCTGGAGGGAGGAGCTTCTCCGGCAGAGCCCGAGCTGAGGCAGGAGGGAGAGTGTGAGTCTGCAGCCGGCAGGCAGCCCTGAGTGGCCCTGAGGCCCAGCCCGGAAACAACCTGCAGCACCGCTTTCCTCCGAGGCCTGTGACCTCAGCCCCCGCCTGCTTCCCACCATCCTACAGCCTGGCCGGGAGCCGCCCACCTCCCCCCTGGGCTGCTACAGAGGGTGTCCTGCCCGGGCCAGCCCTACGGCCCACGGCCTCGGGTGGGGTAGATAGACGTAGGGGAGCCTGGAAACCCCTCGGGGCCTATGCAGGGAGGAGGATGGCCACAGCCCTTCGGGACGAGTCAGGGTGGAGGAGCCGTGTGGTTAGACTGCAGGGGGGGGGCTGCTGTTCAGGACCCCCTTCTGGGCTCCAGGGTGCAGGGTACCCCCCCAAACCACGGAGGTCTGCTGCACATCCCATGCCCTGCCTCCCGGGAGGCGTCACCACATCTGTCTGGGGCTCTGGGCGCATCCCAAGGGCCACAGGAGATCCAACCCCGGCCCTCGGCGGGGGGGGGGG